TTGACCTTGCAACTGGGGTTAGGGGACATTTGAATGTCCCAAGATCCTTGGAGCCGTCTAAGCTGTGGTGCAGAGACTTCAAATTGAGAATTATTTAAATAAATCATTTCCAGCCTATTAGTGGAAGTACTGAATTCCAGAGGGGGGGGCTTAGTAAATTGTTATAAACCAAAAGAGGGGGGGGGAGGAGGGTGGAGAGGAGGAAGAAGAGAGATTTAAAAAATACAATTAAATCAAACTTCAGTTACAAAGACATGATGCTTACTGAAAACCAACATGCAATCTAATGCATCCAACGACAGCATGTATTTAACACCGATAAGCTCTTGATAGCACAGACTGCTGAGTGTCCATACATCAGTGTGCTTGTTTAAGGAGTATCTACCACTTCCAGGATAGCAGTTCCTTTGGGAGCAGCAGCAAAGGAGGATGGAGTAGAGGATCAGAATGTGGAGATTTACTGCTTTATTTCAAAAGTACACCAGAACATGGGCATATGGCAACCCAGGGTAAATCCTGCTGGCACGTACGTTCACATCTCATATTTCCCTTCCCAAACAATTTTTACAACAAGACACATCATTTAAGATAATTAAATGCTTACTGCAGGTGAGTGACTATCTGAGGACCCTTGAAGATTAATACGACTGGCCAAGGTGAGCCAGCAGCTACAGGATCCTCTCTGTCATCACGGTGGGATAAAGGGATTCACAAAACTCAGAATTCTGTAATTAGCTTTCCTATATACACAGTAGAGGTGCTCTGCCTTTTAGCTTTTCCTGAATTTTTCTGTACATTTGAGAGATTGAAAAGCTGGTCTGAAAAGAAATAGCGTTTTAGCACCCCCAATAAAAAGGTTCTCAACAAATACGGGTTAGTCAGAAGTGGGGCAACAGTGAGCTTCATTCAGAGCAGGGTGAAGTAAGAAGTGCACTTGGTGAGCCTTTCATTCTTCAATGCAGAAGCCCGAGAGTTTCAGCTGAGCAGAGTCTGCAGGAAAAGATCCTGACAGCTCTCTACGCGATTAACAAGGGAAAGCCACAGATGAGAATCCAGAGTGAGACCTGTGGGTCTATTTCAGTGTGTGGACTCCCCTAAAATACCCAAGCTCTACAAGAGGTATTTAACTAAGTAGTACTTAGCTTAGCATGCTAAGACTTTGACCCCGCTCTACTATAATACATCTTTAACTAGTTCCTTCAATGGAGATTGTTTCCTGTGAGGAGTCTTGAGGCTGTGAGAAAAAGCTCATGGTGTGGGGGAAAATTCATGCCAAAAGTCTACCGAACTCATTTTTGAGGCACTAAATACTGGACCACTCTTCTTAGTAAGAAGCAGCTATTCCATGACATCATTGTTTGCAATAATTGCCTCCCTTCTCACTGTTTCTCTTGCATCCTTACAGCATAGCTGAGTGGCATTGAGTTTACACCTTGAGATCTCATCTCCCGGGGAGATAGATTTACTGTATCTATAGAGACTCAGATAGAAAGGCAGAAGTTTTACAAAAGAAAGAGAAATAAAATATAGCCCAGGCCCAGAATACCACAGAAGATGAACAGAATGAAATCTCCGAGAGGACTTTCCCAAGAGTGGGAGGGACCAAGTGGTGGTGGTGTGAACAGGGAGCAGTGAAAAGAAGTCGCAATAACACGGTAGGTGTGGTGACAGGTCTCAAAGAAATCTGCACTCCCAAGCTATTATTGCTTTCAGTAATTCCAGTGAAATTAAACTCTTGAGTGACAGATTGTTTTCTTTAATACAAACCTTTAGCTCACTTCTGCCCTGGCAAGTCATACACCAAGCTGAGGCGAAAGGTGAACATGAGTTTATCTTTGTATCTCTGTACATGAACCATCCCCAAAAAGATAAAGCTAATCCAAATGAAAAGCACGGGGAACAATTTGTCATATCGAAGGCATAGAGAAATTTATCTGTCATACCAAGGAATTTATGGTATACTTTGACAGGCTTTTAGTTAAGATTAATTATTATGTTTTATAAAGCATAAACAAGGGGTTTGTGAACATTTTAGGAAAATGTATTTGTTGTTGTAGCTGTGTGGTTTTTTCTCAATTCTCTTTCCTATCTGCAGCTGGAAAGAGTAGCATCAAACGTGAAGGCGAAACAGTAGCTGTGGGGATGACGTCTGCTTTCTGCTGGAGATGGGGCTGGAGATGCTGTGCCTTTATGGGGCATAAATTGATGTTGGATACGGCTCATCAAAAATGTAAAGAAAATTAAATGAATAGCGCTTGTGGGAAGAAGGAGGCAGGGTGTTTTAGAGAAACAGGAAACTCATTTGAGAGTTTACTGAATGAATAAATTTATGATTTCCTCCACATTCTACAACTTCTGAAACACAGACATAGAAAATACTGAAGGCAACCGCTGGGTTCGATGGTTTACATAATGAAACTCCAACCACTGCTTGGTAAAATTCAAGTCTGTTCAGAGAACTTCTGTGCATTGAATCTTTGTCTACATTCACATTTATTGCTATATCAGTCATGTGTTGAGAATATTTTCCCATCAGTGTGAAGACTAGAGCATCCCTTCTCATCCTCATGTACTGTAGTCCATGTACATGGGGGCAAAGGCATTTCCTAGACAAAAAACTTGAGACATTGTCAGCAGTTGAGAAACAGACTGCATTCCCATTACAATAGTTTCATTCTGCTATCAGGTACCGCAAATGTGGTGATGGGTAGAAGGACCTTCTATTCTCTGCTAAGGTCACCAATGTCTGTGTACCTAACCCATAAAGGTCAGAGAGAAAGGAGACAAGGCAACTCTTGACAGCAGGATTCTGGAAGATGGCCCCAGAGATCCAGATCCTATAGAATCCCCCACCTTACGGAGGATTTCAGAGAGATCATCACAAGTCTCTCTTCCAAGGCTAGCTGAGCAGATATTTAATTTTTGTCAAAAACAGGTGTTTTGACATTTAATAAAGTGAGAACACTGAGTTTTTAATTTATTATTAGCATATTTCTTTTTTAATTTAAATCTGTTTAGTTTTTATAGAAGTTGAATTATAAATGTTAAGTGAATATTATTTCAATCTGTGGACAATGCTTTCTTAGCATAGAACTATTTAAAGTGACAAAAACCCACATTTGTGCCATGGCCAGTTAAATAACAACATTGTTCATATTCCTCAGTTTTTATTATGGCAATGACAATGATTTCATTTAGATCATCTATACAATGTGTCAATTAGTATTAAAATGTATTGCAGACCGATGTCAGTGGTTAATTATAAATACCACCATTAGATAGAGTCCCTTCCCTAATATGCTCATGACATTTTTTAATCCAAATTAGAAGAGTCATGGGAAAGGATTATACATTAGCCAATTCCATCAACTATAAAAGACTTCAAGTTGCTGTGGAACTTGGCTTCATTTTCAAGAGCAGGGGAGGAAGATCATCTCTACCTTCACTAAGAAGTCTAAACTAAACTCCAGTTTCCTTCTTTACAAGGGTTGGTACCTTAGTTTTTCCTTATAAAATACAGTTTTGTGTAGGTGAAATTTGAGACAGTCATTAATATATTCTATCTGATTATAATAGATGGCATAATACTTTCTAAGCACGGCAGCAAGTTTAAAAGAGGGGGTTAAGAAATTAATTCATTCACTTTTTCCAGACCATAGGTATTTATTAGATTTCATCCACGACATCTAATAAATCTCAAATGTTACAAAGACTTTATTGCTCATCCACAACGAGACAGAACTGCAATAATGGTGTGTTGTAACTGTAATAAGAGATCTACACAAATCACTATGGTTACTGAGAAGAAAGGGCTTAATTAGTTGTGCCCAAGCTGCTCACATAAGACTTTACATGGGAGGAAAAAAAAAAAAAAGAGGACAGTGGGACCAGTGTCTACAACAAAGAGCCTTTTCATCAGAAAAGAACATGGATGCCCCAGTCTCAGATGTGGTCCAATGAGACTGAAACACAATATGCTGGTGTCTTAATATTTGCCACCATATGGCATTTTCCCTTATCTGTGTCTCTCTGTTCCTTTAGGCTGGAGCCACTAAGGTCAAAGACTGTGTGAGATCTTCTTTTGTGACCTCTGAGGCAATCACAGTACCTAGTCCAGTTTGGGTCAGTGTTTATTGAATAATATATAAAAACTGTAAGTAAATGGATGAATACAGTCAAAGGCTCAGAAATACTAAATGTTGATATGTTGTCATTCTGAATGATAGTTTCTATAATTTTCCCAATTATGTCTCTGAGCTTTCATAATGCTATAAAAGGAGAAGAACATATCACATGAAATTAACTTTGTTTCTGTAAGCACTTACGGAGTGTAATTATTGGTCGCTATCTACTTTTACCAGTGTTATTTTCTCCTCAGATGCCTTCTATCCCAGCATGCCACGGGAATTTCTCTGTTAAAGATCGCATGATCCCACAGTTTTGGCACATAGTGGACCCACTTCAGTCCCTGTCTTCCTGAACTATAACCAGACAGTTCCTGGCTCTGCACACCCATGATGCTTTCTTGTGCTTCTGCCTTCATTTAGGTTGTCTTAATTCTGGATTGTTAACACACACCACATGACATCAGCCACACAAGCACACCCTTTCCCCAATACACACACACATACACACACACACACACACACACACACACACACACACACACACACACACACACCTTCCTAACTTCACACCTAGCTAACTCCTGTGTGTTCACTCTTAACTCTTCATCTCTTTCATTTCCTCCACAGTCTCCCCCTGTGCTACCTGCCCATAGCCTACTTGGTGTAATGTTATTATTGCACTTAAATAGCCTAGAAGTACACATCTGTGCTTCTCTGGCTGACTCTAAGTAAAACTTTGCAGGCCAGAAGAAGCAGGTTTGTGTGCATTGTGTGTGTGTGTGTGTGTGTGTGTGTGTGTGTGTGTGTGTGTGTGATAGTTTTGCTGCTGTCTGTGGCAGGTATTCAATATAATTTAGGACATCAAGCTATAGGTCTTTGTGGTAAAGTAGTTTTGTTTCAATGGACTGGATGGTAATGAGAATTCTCAATGCTTACCAGTCTGTGGTGGTACCATGGCCAAGAAGCGGATAGCTGTGATTGGCGCTGGAATCAGTGGCCTGGGAGCTGTCAAGTGCTGTTTGGATGAAGGTCTGGAGCCTACCTGCTTTGAAAGAAGTGATGACATTGGAGGCCTGTGGAAATTTCAAGTACATTTGCATTTTATTTGACTTTAAATACAGTTTCACTAAATAGCAATAACAATTTGAATAGTTTCATTAAATGAAACATACAAGGTGTCACATAATCAGTCAACTCAATTAATGGCTCTAATGTTTGTGCTTATATCACTTACTGAGGAAATTTGTCAACTTTAGATGAGGAATAAAATTTGGAAGATTGTATTCAAAGCAGCTGAAATCCATGTGATCCTCACAAATATTAGTAAAGGTGTGGTGGCTACAGAACTGTTTAGATGCACTATTGTTATTCAAAGCTAGGGATGCCATAGATTTGGGTGGTAGGATAAGATGATGGTCCATTGCTGACCTTCTACTATGTAATTTGATATTCGGTCTTGTGGTAATATCTGCATGCTACTCTTTCTTAAATGTCCCAGGGCACAGTGTAGGACATCAGCATGTGTAGATCTGTCTCTGTCTCTGTCTCTCTGTCTCTGTCTCTCTGTCTCTCTGTCTCTCTGTCTCTGTCTCTCTCTCTCTCTCTCTCTCTCTCTCTCGTGTTTGTGTGTGCGCATATGCGTGTGTGTGTGCGTGTGCGTGTGCGTGTGTGTGTGTGTGTGTGTGTGTGTGTGTGTTTGTATCCATGTGTGTGTGTTTTACAGGGCAATAATTATTTTTTTCCTCTGAGTTCTAAGTAGCAAGAGATGCATTGCTTTCAAGGGTGCTCAATGCTGAATAGGCTCCAGATTCTAAGTGGCCATCTTCTTCTGATGCTTCACTCATTTATTGGATGTGCCCATGAAATTCAGGACTTGTGATCAATTCTCTCCAGTTCTGGTGATCCTACAGAACAATTTTGCTCACCAGTCATGGATGGTCCATGTGACATCTCAGGGGGTTGTCATTAATGAGTTGGGTTTCTTTTATTGCTCATGGCTTTTAGCCCCACTTAGGACACATATCAACAGCTTAACTATGAGACCTCTTCATTCCTGTGAACAATGGTTGCTCTGGCAAAGTAGTTATCATGGCTGTCTCACAGGGATCTCCCTTAGGTACCCCTGAAACAGAGAAGTGTCCAAGGAACAGCCTCACTCACCCCAAACACCTTCCAACATAGTATTGATATGATTCAAATACCCCTCTGCAGCCTGTGGGATTTTTCCAAGGATTGACATTCTGTTTTTAGATATCAGCACCCATGTTATTTCTTCTTTAATTTAAAAGTTCACTCATTCAATGAATATTTTTGAATACTTACTATATACAAGGCACTTTTACAAGTGAACGAATATACTAACAAATATGAGTGCGAAATCCTCAACATCAGGGGGCTTAAACTCTGATACAAGATTAAAGGAAAATGAAATAAATAGTACAGATAGCAGCCGTGAGCACATTGAAAAGAGTACAGCGGCAACTGAGACTTGGGGATATAATCTAAGTAAGAGTCCATACAGAACCTCAAGGTAAAATGATTTTGGAACAGTGCATTAAAAAATAAAAAGGCAACTCGGGAGATCGTCTGAGAAAAGGGTTTATAGGGAACTTCGGGTGCAGAACTATGGAGGTGGGCATATGGCTAGCATGGCAAGGAAAACCAGCAGGCTAGTGTAGTTTGCTTGTGGTACCTAAGGGGGAGAAAGCTAGGCTATGGGTCTGAGGTACATGTGAAATTGAGTTTTGTCAGTGGGTATAGACCGTAGTAAGGACTTTGATAGAAACCAAGATTAAAGAGAAGAACAGCATTCTTTCTCTGTAGATGGACCATCCTGCTACATTGAGACTAGACCAAAGGGAAGGCTGAACAAGTATGTCTAATTTCAAAGATTCTCAATAAGAAGATAGACATAATATTATGTTAAACTATATCAAAATCCATGAGAGTATAGCAAATTGTACTATTTAAAATACAATATAGTGTATCATACATGTTAGTATCTATTCCATTTCTCTTAGCAATTTTATTGTATATACAGATGTTCACTTTATATGCTTATAGGTTTGTGGCTGTTACATATTTTTAATTGATAGTTCCTTTTGTTAATATATAAAATCTTGTTTCTAAGGAAGAAGAATTTTTTACTGTATATTACATGATATTGGTGTCACTATTATTAAATGAGTGATCTTTTTTGTTACAGTTGGGGTATAAAGCTGTGTGAGACCCAGCTAGACCTGGAGTGGAAGACTGTAGGAATGGGTAGTGTCTGGGAGGGCATTGGCTTCCCCATTTTGCATAGCATTTATGGCTGCTAGCTCCCCAGCTTTTGTTTACCTCAAATTGTATTTCACTTTCAGACTTAAGGGAATTTTTACTGGGATTAGAAATCTAGACAGTCATTTTGATTTGTCGTTTTCAAGACATTATTCTCCTTTCTGAATCCATCATTCTGATTGAGAAGTCATACACAGAATTTGTTGTTGATTCAATGTGATTTTTTTCTCCTCTAGAAAATATAGGAGCTAGGGAGAAAATATCAATGGATGCTTGACAATATATAAAAAGCAATATTCTACTTTTCTAAATACCTGAGGCCACTTAAAATATTTTATTACCTTGTAATTATGAAGTTTGTAGTATTGAGGTGTTTTCTCTTGTAGAAAAATCCTTCAGAGAAAATGCCTAGTATCTACAAATCTGTGACCATCAACACTTCGAAGGAAATGATGTGTTTCAGTGACTTCCCCATTCCTGACCACTTTCCCAATTACATGCATAACTGCAAACTCATGGACTACTTCAGGATGTATGCCACGCACTTCAGCCTTCTGCGTTACATTCGATTTAAGGTGAAATACTGCATTGTGTGTATGTGCATGCACATGTGGGCACATACACTCACGTGTGCACACACAAAAGTTACACCCAGCACCTTCTGATGTTCACCCATGAAGAAGAGATTATCAGTTGACCTCCACATCTGAATATCATCACAGCTTGAAAAATATTTTGACTGTTTTACTTGAATGTGAGGCTGGAAGACGTTGCTCATCAGGGTCTATTCTTATTGTACATTGTGGTGGCATAGCCCTCCTTATCAATTCAAAACGTTTGAGAACTTAGAATAATGGCAGTAGAGATTGAGCCAAATGGTGTTGCCTCTAGAACAAGAAGAAGACTCATACAAAGAATATTTATTTATTCCCTACCTCCTACCTGTGATTGGTACTACAACTCAAATACATAAACCCATTTTCATGTCATGATGAATTCTTTAAAATTCAAAGTGCAGGCCAGAGGTAAATGGACGAGCCTGTCCTAAAGAATGAAAAACATGAAAAAATAGCACCTCCATGCATATGGAAGTCTTCCTAGGAAGATATTAATTCTGTGGATTCAGCCACTCCAATATGTCACAAAGCCCCAACTATTTCTATTTCTACAGAAGACTAGGTCTGTGACAGAATTTCCCTAGTATATTGAAAATGCACTCAACACTGAACCTACTGTGGTAGGAACAGGAACTATATTGATGTGAACGTCTTAGACGAGTGTCCCGTCAGGGTCTGTGGGACTTGAGGAAGAGGCCTAAGCAAGAACTGTGAAGTGAGTCACTTGTGTTTCCATCTGTGTTTCCTCATTCTCAGACCAAAGTGAGGAGCGTGAGAAAGCGTCCAGACTTCGGAGTCAGTGGACAATGGGATGTTGTTGTGGAGATGGATGGGAAGCAGGAGAGCCTGGTCTTTGATGGGGTTCTGGTCTGCAGTGGCCATCACACAGACCCCCACCTGCCGCTTAAGTCCTTCCCAGGTATGTCATGAAGAATCTGGTAGAGGGGCATTTTCCAAATAACTTACCGCAGAAATGAGTGGGCATAAATGTGTGAATTTTTCCTGGTATCCTTCAGCAGCAAATTGTTCGTTCTCTGTTAACAGGACACTATAATCCTAACAGGACACTATAATCCACTGGAATACAAAAGCAAGCAAACACAATGACCTCTGCTTTCCCCCTTACTATCATGGCATACGGCTTCTAATGAATAACAAAAACCATCCACATTCAAATGGTTTTAGTTTTGTCAATGTATTTAATCTCTGTCTATTCCAGAGAAAGTGAAATTAATAAAAGTGAGGCACAAAGACAAATGACAAGTAAACAGCTGGCCAATCCATACATTTAGAAATCTTAACATATGGGGAAGAAACTTCAGTCCATGTATTTATCATGGATTTATTTTTGATTTTTATTTTATAAATGAAACATAATCCCTCATCCCCTCTTTCCTTTCCTCCCTCCAACCATGGTATATGCGATATATATGACTTAAGGGCTGGCCACTTAGTATTGGATAACCAATTGAAGGGTCTTTTCTTTGGGGAAGACTATTACTCTGGCTCTCAGCATTTCTTACTCAACTGTAGTCTAGGTGTAGGGGCCATGAGATTTCCCCCTTCTATATCTTGGGTTCTTGTTGGCTAATAAAACCGAGTGAACAACTTATTGCTCCCTTGTAGTTCTATGAAGTAAAATGGTATCTATCTCAAGGGGGTTGTTTTAGCTCCCCTACCTCCCCTAATTAAGTCCTCTCCCCTTGCTCTTGACCCACTTGCCCTCTATTTCCATCAAATTATGACCAGGAATCAATCAGAAAATATTTTATATTTCAAATCCTTTCTATGGTGCCCAAGAAACCACTGTGAAAAAATGGAGACAAGGTAAATAAGATTGTTTCAAATGGTTGTTCAAAATTCCGAGTGAACTAGGCATAACAGGTGTATAATCTTTTTGCACACTAACACGAGTATTTGTAAAATGAAAGTCCCTGGTTTTTGAACATTATAATGCAGTATATTCAGGAAAGCATTCCTAGGTATGAAACAATCTACAGATTACACAATGGGCTACTGTATCAGCTTCAAATTGGTGCTTCCTGGCTGAAAGGCAGTCCCTAGAAGGAGACATAAACGTGCTCACATAGAGCAGACCTACCAAGGTCAGACAGATTGTGGGTTTTATGAAGCATGCAGCCAAGCCACACACAGCATCAGGAATTGGCATCAGGCACATAAGGCAGAGGAAACACCAGTGAAGAAAAGGTCCTCAAATCTTAAAGAATTGTAAAAGAGTAGAACATCCAGTGCCTTGCTTTGTCAGTTTGCTTAGAACTGTGAGACTAATATAATAATGAGTAGCATTAGATCCTGGTGCAGTTGTAACACTTCCATTTGTACCAAGTCAAGACAGATAGATCTATTATTTCGTAAATACTTTATAAGATCACCAGTCTGTATTTAGAGCCCAGGGACTCTACTTCTGAGTTTAGTCCTCCATTCCCTGAGCTCCCTTCATATGAGTAGCATTTGAGGACTATGCGTGAGCTTCAGCTGGCCGACCCAGATTTCATTTCTTCCTCTTTCGGGTTATTCAGAATGGAGCTTTCTTACGTGTGTTAATATGTGAAAGGTCTCCTCATAATGACTAAGGATCTTCTTTCACCACAGGCATTGAGAAGTTTGAAGGCTGTTTCTTCCACAGTCGGGAATACAAAAGTCCCGAGGACTACATAGGAAAGAGAATCATAGTGGTTGGCATTGGGAATTCTGGTGTGGATATTGCCGTGGAACTTGGTCGAGTAGCAAAACAGGTTTGTTGGCAATCATTAACTTCACCAGTGGCATCCCGTGTGTTTATGGGTATCATCCTGAATGTAGCTTTGGCTTAAGAAGGGCCAGAAAAGAAATTTAGAGAAATCTATGGACCCACCCTCAAGAGGTTTAAATTCATGCTGAGTAGAAAATGAATGCAAAATGGATCCTTTATACTAACCATGGGAACAGGCATGTGAACAATTGAGCAGGTGTCCTAAGTGAAGAGAGAAGTAGCAGACATTAGATAACCGATTTCATTTTTCTTGGTAGGATCCTTGTATGAGGGAGAACACATGCTATTTGTCTTGTGAGTCTGGGTTAATTTCACCAAATATTTTCCATGGATTTATTTTAAAACAAATAATACAGACTTTTACAGCAATTAATATGGCAATTAACTTACAAATTCAAACCCTTGTTTACATATGAAGTACAGCTATGTCAATATCCAGGAGTATTTTTTTTAACATGGTATTTCAAAGACAGGTAGATAAGCGAATTGCATTTTGGTTTTCATGAATAAATTTGGTGTCATATAAACAGCCCTTTTCTGGGGCTCAGTAAAAGTTCTGGGAAAGCACAGCATGGTGGTCACTGCATGGCACTTGGCCTCCTATTCTTCAGTGGTCAACACTCTCAACAGGGGGGTGATGGCTGACATTTGAACAGTACAGCAGGTAAACGTTCCCCTGTTCTCTCCTGCTGTAATTCTGCCTCCCACAGGTATTCCTCAGCACTAGACGAGGATCGTGGATTTTACACCGTGTTTGGAATGATGGATATCCCATGGACAGTTCATTTTTCACTCGCTTCCATAGCTTTCTCCAGAAAATATTAACCACAGCAGCAGTAAATAAGTACCTAGAGAAAACACTGAACTCGAGATTCAACCATGCGCACTACGGTCTGCAGCCACAGCACAGGTGACACTCAGGGCTTGATGTGGGTAATCGTGTGTGGACACAATGAGCTTTCTGCTTTGAAGACAACTGAGCTTTTGGCTCCTGGTTGATCTCATGCCCTTAGGCATGTAAAGCACTCAGATTTGTATTATGCACATTACTGCATGTAAATGTGTGTGTGTGCTTCTCAGCTCCACTTGTATAATATTCTCATCCATTCATCAATCAGTTAACACTTGATTGCTATACACCAAAAATTCAGACAAAAGACAATACCATGTTCCTCCCTTCCACAGATGACAGCTATGGAGATCAGAGAAGACACAAACACAGGGTTGAGCAAAGCAATGTGGATGCCATAATAAATGTCAGAGGGAGGTATAACTATGTACAAATTTACATCAGTTGTGTTGAGGTTGGGGTAGAGGTGTCAGGGAGGCCCACATGGAAGGGGAACTATCTAAGGAGTCCTTCCTCTGCAAGATCACCCCTGGAATTTCAGGTCTTATCTCATAGAAGTTTCCTGGTTCAGAAATCATCAGTAGCTTCCAGTTAATAAACAAAAGACAGAGTGGGATTAGGACTGAACAGAGTTAAGAAAAGAAAATAAATATAATGAAGAAATATTATTCAAACAAGTTAGGTGCCCCAGATTTCATTCATGGGATACTTAGCCTCGAATTCATATATTAATGATACATTGAGGGGGTGCCCTCAAGGGTAATTGAGAGAAGATGGTGTCATGAGGATGAGGCCCCTCTGAGGACTTAGGGTTTTTACAAGAAGAGGAAGAGATAACTAAGTCAGCGGTTTTGCTCTGTCTTCCTGTGTGGTGCCCTATCCCACTTCAGACGGTGCAGTGTCTCCAGCAGCACGAAAGTTCTCACTAGATGTGACTCCTTGACAGTGGCTTTCCATAACTGATCTAATTCAATAATTGTAATTTTTTTATAAATTACCCACTCTTATATATTGTTCTAGCAAAGGCAAACAGATAAGCCAACAACAAATACTATCTTTCTTGTATGACTACTTATGGGATCCAAGGGTACTCGTGTGTGTGTGTGTGTGTGTGTGTGTGTGTGTGTGTGTGTGTGTGTGTGTGTGTACTATATGTGTGTGTGAGAGTGTATATGGAGGCCAGAGCTTGATGTCAGATGTCCTATGAATTGCTCTCCATCTTATTTTTTTTAAAAAAAGCTATCATTGAATATGTTGCTCAACAACTCAGTCAGATTAGCTAGATGGCATGTCCCAGAACCTTCCTGTCTCCTCCTTCCCACTGTTGGGGTTACAGGTGCTCACTGCAGTACCCAGGTTGTTATGCAGGGGCTGGGCATCAAACTCAGGTCCTCGTTCTTGCACAGCTAGAACTTGTGGACTTAACGACCCTGCCTCCTCACTGCCTCATGTGTTTCAGTAAGTGGTACAAAAGAATGGAGCATGTATTGATATGTTCACTAAAAAAAATAATAATCTTCTATTATGCTGTGAGTGAAAACATTATGTTCTGTGAAGGAAGATGAGTACAATATTTAAGCTATACAGTGTCATGAGAACTATGAAGGAAGTGGATGATGAATATGATAAAGACTGTCTAGGGGTAGACTAGGTGGATAAACTAATAGAATGATCATGGAAGCAAATCTTAGGAGCGATGTTTAAGCTAAGACTTAAAGAGCAAGGAGGAGCCATCAAGAAAAATCATCCAGGAAAGAAGGCTGTAAGTAGGATTCTCAAGCAAAGCCTTCTTGAGCTAGGAAGGGGCTGGGTGCAAAGTGAGGCACAGAATAGAACTCAGCACTATGACGAAGTCAGCGAGAGGACCACAAAGAGGCAGAGGCCGTGGCACATATGGCTTGAGCATGGGGGAAAATTTGGATTCTGTCCATTTTGATGATTGCATAATTTTAAGGTATCTAACTTGCTCTACTATACACGTACAATGAAACTGTTACTATAGTGAGGCAAATCAAAACATCCACGCTCTCACGTAGACCTGTTTTGGCAAAAGCATCTAAATCCTTAATGCAATGATGTTGTTGGCTATAGTCCCTAGGCTGTGAATTTGAACCTTAACTTGTTCATTCTACATACCTGCAACTTTCTATCCTTTGACCTACTTCTCTCCATGTTCTCCTCCCTAAAACCTGCTGACAGCCATTGTATTCTCTACACATTTGACTTTTTACATCCTACATGTAAGTAATATAATACTCTTTTTCAGTATCTGGCATATTTCACATAGCATACTATTTTTCAGATTGATTATGCTGTGGCAACTGGCAATATTTTCTTTATTGTTATTTTTTCTTTTTTATTTATTTTTTGAGAATTTCGTATGATGTATTTTTATCATATTCAACCCTCCTAAATTCCTGCCAGATCTGCACATCCCATACAAGCCCAATGTTGTGTTATTTTTAAACCATCAAGTACAATCTGTGCTACCCATATACTGTTTGATGCCGGCCTTTTGAACTTAGGCTCTTATGACGACTAGGCAAGTGCTCTACCAGCAATTTTAAGCCTGAATAACATCCCATTGTACATATTTACCACAGTCATGGATTATATAAAAAGAGAGCTAACAAGACAGACAGACAAATGTGTATCACAATTTCTTTCTCTAATGGATCTACACTTAGGTTCTGTTTTTATCTTTTTGGCTAGAGTGAACGAGACTACAATGGACATGGAGTGCAGATATGTTTTGAGGGCAGTGGTTTTATCCCTTTTGAGTGCATACTATGAATAAGTATTTAGGGGTCATATGATAATGCTATATTTTTAAATGTCTGGTGCTGAGAGGCAAAAGGATCCATTAAGGCTTTGAACAGTATATTTTTCTTTTTCCATTAGGTCAGATAAGTACCTGGAGATCAATTTCAGGGATCCCAAAGGTGAAACACTGGTGCACCCTGGGGAGAGCTTGGTGTGTGTTTCTGGTGAAAGGCAATATCAATTCTCCATGAAGTGGTACCCTAGTGCAACATCAATTCTCCATGAAGTGGCACCCTAGTACAACATCAATTCTCCATGAAGTGGCACCCTAGCACTGATGAAGTGGACAAGATGAATAAACTGAGTCCTTCCTGAGGCTTTTATGCCCAAGAAGGAGGACATAGAAAGGCCTTCTCTGGATAGCACACCAAGATCAGGGATGTCTGCTAGTTTCTTTGTCTTAGTTCACAGAATTGGCCACCTTGTACCACCTGAAGAACGGCCATCCAAAGGAGCCTTCAGTAGCCAAAGGCAGCTTGTAGGAAGTAACAGAGGAAAAGCTCTCCATGCCAATAACCAGAATCCAGATAGTATCCAAAAAACTGGAGCATGTGCTAGGGAAGTTGAATATAGAAGGGAAATCAGCTTGCATGAAAATTGGAAGCAATCTTTAATAAAGCCAAGGCTATACAGAATGCTTTAGCAATTAAAAATGTCATTTCCCAATTAAAAGCCAAAGCCGATAGATGGCAGGAAAAGTGCTTACTAGGAAGATGAGAGGTAAGAATATAGAGGAGACACAATACTTAAATAGGAACAGAAGAAAAGGTTCTTCAGATTGAAAAGGGCCTCTGTGTTTCAGGACACAGTACAGGCAACACACAGACACACAGACACGCCTCAAGTAGGGCCCTCAGTTACAGCACTTGTTTCTCTGTCCTGGCTGAACTGTACTGGTCAGCCACATGCTTTGTCTCCTGCAAGTTAGCTTGAGACTGGGCCTGAAAAACCACAGGCATTTCTAAAGGGCCCTATGTCTTTTCCCACAACACACACACACACACACACACACACACACACACACACACACACACACACAAATAAATAAATAAATAAATAAATAAATAAATAAATAAATAAATAAATAAATAAATAAAACTATAACCCCAACCTTAAGTCAAATCCTTTAACACATTTATAAACTGATAGCCTGGCCTGCTCACTGGGGCATACCCTGGTAGAGCTTCCCTTGTCTTGTACCACCAGGATACACTACACCTCTGGTGATTTCCTCTAGTACTTTCTTTGAATATATGAGCCTGCTTCAGTACTTCTTACTTTAGAATTTTACCCTATTACTTCTTGGAGAAGTTTTGAGTGTCTCCAGTCCCAGCCTCAACCAAACAAAACTCTCAGGTAAATTGTAGCAGAAAGGAAGAACAACCTGCCTTTTATTGACCTCCATACATACAACATTGGAGAGTATAGTGTGATAGGATTTACAGATTCTGCTAGAAAATGTCTCAACCTCGGGCTCCTAAATCCCATAAGAAGAAGAGAAAGTCATGTGAGTTGGGGTCCACAGTGGAAAAGTATCAGAGTAGGTACCTCAGAACAGAAGATGGGAGAAAGGTGAGGGGAGACACATAAATATTTATGTAAAATTGAATTCGTATAAAGGTAGACGGACAGAAAAGAAATGAAAACACAAAAAGAAACCGGAAATAAAGGAGGGAAAGAAGGAAGGGAGGGAGGGAGGGAGGGAGGGGGAGAGAGAGGTGGGTTGATGGATTAAAACAAGCAAGCTACAGCTCATTCCCTCTGGGGCTGTGTGGTTTAAGTGCTAGTGAAGGGATACAACCTAAAGGAAAACATCCCCGGATGTACCACTTCGCCTTCATAAACTCTTGGAGTGATGAGGGAATTCATATGAGCTAAGTAGTGGCAGGACCTGAGTCTGAATCCCCAGGACCCACGTAAAAATAAATTTCAAAAGTCAGGTATGGCCACATGTGCATGTAATTCCAGATTTGGGAAGCAGGGCAGGTAGATTCAGGGAGCTCAATGGCCAGGCAGCCTAGCCAAAACCTCGAACCTAGATTCAGTAAGAGATCTTACCCCTAGGGAATAAGATACAGTGTGATAAAGTGGGATGCCTTATGTCCTTCTCTGACCTCTGCATACTTGTGTATGAGTACACACCTGCACATGCACGCGCACATGTGCACACACACACACACACACACACACACACACACACACACACACACTCCTGTGTTTGGAGAGAAAACTGTCAAGGGAAGTTGCCAGCTTCAAACCCTTCTCTCACACATTGCTTTCTCCTTCTTAGATTTGCTTAGATCTTTATTTTTATGAACAGACCACTGAGTCAGCATCCCACCGTCAGCGATGACCTTCCAAATCACATCATTTCCGGAAGAGTCCAAGTGAAGCCTAATGTGAAGGAGTTCACGGAAACAGATGCCATTTTCGACGACGGCACGGTGGAGGAGAATATCGATGTTGTCATCTTTGCCACAGGATACAGCTTTTCCTTCCCCTTCCTGGAGGATCTGATTGCAGTGACTGATAATGAAGTGTCCCTGTATAAGTTGATGTTCCCTCCAGACCTGGAAAAGCCAACGCTGGCTGTCATTGGACTCATCCAGCCCCTGGGCATCATCCTGCCTATTGCAGAACTCCAGTCTCGCTGGGCTGTGCGGGTGTTCAAAGGTCTGTGAACAAAGGCTGTGAACAGAGGGGGCCTGGCAGTTCACCTAAAGTGAACCCTCCTTTCTCTTCACATTAGTTTCTGGTTGAACATGCTCTTCCTTTTTATTGTTGTTGTTTTCCTTTTATTGAAAATAGGTTTTTTTTTAAATCACATAATATATCCTGATTACGTTTTCTTCTCCATCTACTCCTCCAAGTTCCTTCTCACCCCTCCCATCTAGATCCACTCCCTTCGTGTCTCTTATTAGAAAACAAACAGGCTTCTAAGGGAATATAATATAATATAATATAATATAATATAATATAATATAATATAATATAATATAATATAATACAATATAATATAAGCTAACACATCAGAATTGGACAAAATAATCAAACAGAGAGAAAAGAGCCCAAGAGAAGGCACAGAAACAGAGATCCATTCATTCGCTCACCAAGGAATCCCATGAAAACACTAAGGTAGACAACATATAATGCAAAGGACCTATATGGCAAAAAAGAGAGAAGAAAAAAGTTATAAACACATAAAATTAAAATAAAAAGATAACTAAAAAAAGAGAGCGAGAGAGCCCTTGTCTCAACATTCTGAGACAAGGAACCTGCAAAGATGCTATTGAGTTTGTTTCCTGCGGGTCATTTACTGTTGGGCAGGCAGCCTACCCAAAAATAAGCAGTTTGTTTCCTCAGTGAGATTCCCTTGGAGGGAACTCAGTTTTCATTTTCAAATGGTTATCAACCAGAAATTACTTTTGAGTTAGGGCTGGGTCATGTGTCCACTTCTCCTTTCAGCTCTAGAACCCCATCTTGTGCAGACCCGTGCAGGCCCTGTGCATGCCGCTTAGTGTCGATCTCATTGACTTAGAGGGCCTTGCTTTGCTGGTGTCCTCCATCCCCTAAGGCTCTTACACTCTTTCTGCCTCCTCTTCCATGGGATTCCCTGAGACCTGGGGAATGGAGGAGGGCACTTGATGGAAACATCCTTTTGGGGGCTGGGTGTTCCAAGGTCTCTCAACTCTCCACATATTGTTTGGTGGTAGGTCTCTGTATTTCTTCTCATCTATTGCAGAAAGAAGCTTCTCTGATGATGACTGAGCATGGCCATAATCTATGATTACAGCAGGAAGTCATTAGGAATCATATTATTGCTATTTTTTTTTGTTGTTGTTGTTGTTGGTTTGTCTGTTTTTCAAACAGTCATACATGGTTTTACTCTAGGTCCCAGGCTGTTTAATCTCAGGTTCTTGGTCACCTAAGCACTGTTGGGTATGGGTTCCATTTCATGGGGTGGGCCTCAAGTAAGTCAGATATTGGTTGGTTGCTCTCACAACCTTGGTGCCACCATGGCACTAGCATGTCTTGCAGGTACGACACCATGGTAGACCAAAGGGTTTGTAGCTGTGTTGGTGTTTGTTTCTCCTTTGGTAGTGTGCAGAGCACCTTTCTGTATGAACGCATAGTGGTGAAATCTCTATGTGTTCAATGAGTTACATGGGTGTTGTCTTCAGCAATGGGGCCTTGCCGTCAGTGCACGGAGAGCAACCAATAGTCTTAGATAAAGCCGGGGTTATTTGGGGATTGCCATGGGAACCCCTTAGCCAACTCAATTAGATACAATCCAATCCTGGTTCTAGAAGTTTCATTTTGATGACAAGAAGTGGTCAGTTTCCCACATTATTTGAAAATTTCATATATATTTCCTTCATGTGTGTATATATTTTAGGAATATTCCACTCTATTAGGTTTTCATGCTACCCCTCAAATGGTCCTGAATTTTTGTTATCTCTCACCATATCCCTTTCCTTGCCTCTCTTTTCCCTCTGCCTCCTGACTTGATCCTCCCATTACAGCCACGCCCCCATCCATAACTAATTTAGTTCCCTTTCCTAGTGAGATCTATCTGTCCCCTACTCCCTTTCTCTGTATCTTACCTCTGTGGTTCTATGAATTGTAGCTTGCTTATCATTAACAGCTAATATCCACATAGAAGTGAATACATACCATATTTGTCTTTCTGAGACTGGGTTACCTCACTCAGGATGATTTTTTTTCTAGTTTCATCCATTTGCCTGCAAATTCCATCATTTCAATTTTTAACACCGAGTAATACTCCATTGTCTAAATGTACCACATTTTCTTTACCCATTCTTCTTTTGAGGGACATCTAGGTTGTTTCCAATTTCTGGGTATTAAAAATAGGGCAGCAATGAATGTAATTGAGCAAGTGTCTCTATGGTAGGATGAAGCATCCTTTGGTTATATGCCCAAGAGTGGTAGAGCTGGATCTTGAGGTAGATGATTCCCATATTCCTGAGGAACCACCACACTGATTGCCATGGTGGCTATACAAGTTTGCACCCCACCCAGGAATGGATGAATGTTCCCCTTACTCCACATCCCTGACAGCATGAGCTGTCACTTGCCTTATTGATCTTAGCCATTCTGCCGGGTATAAGATGGATTCTCAAAGTAGTGTTGATTTGCACTTCCCTGATGGCTAAGAATGTTGGAGCATTTCTTTAAGTTACACATGCCCTTTTTATTCTTGCAAAATTTGATGTATTTTTCACTTCCAGGGCTGAGCAAATTACCTTCCAAGAAGACCATGAAAGCAGACATTGCCCAAAGGAAAAAGGCTATGGAAAAACGGTAAATAAAAATGCAGTAACAAGTGTTTGGAAACTTCAAAGAGATGACAGGACTCTTGGTGTGGAATTCTAACTCAGTTCTCCATGTCTATCTTGCCCTTCTCCATTCCCTACAACATGCTGTCACACAGCACAAAACCAAATGCACACCATAGAACTTAGCCAGAGGACTAAGGCCTAAGTCCAAGGTACACTTACATTCCTGAGGCCAGAGCACCAGTGACTATCTTATTACTCATCCCTGGTTTACAGTGAATACAGGGAGGGACTAGACACTAAGTTCTCCATCAAATCTTTCATCAAAATCTTTCTGTTAAAAACATCTCTCCTTTTACTACATGGGCTCTGAGAATCAAACTTAAGTTCTTGTGCTTGATAGAAAGATCCAAGCTCATCAAGGTTATCTCTGGCCTCTACATATGTGCACTATAGCACTTATACACATGCCCACACACATTAAGAAAATAAATAAATGCAAAATAAATCGTGTCTAAGAAAGGCATCTTCAAGATCACTATGAACACGGTCTAAAGCAAAACATCCTCTTGTCAAAAACAGTGAACATACATCGAGGATGAAAGCGTGGATTCTGTGTCTTCAGTTCTATTCAACATCTGGGTGGTGCTGGCTTTCTCAGGGAAGCTTGCCCACTCTGTTTCTTTACCTCTAAGATGGAAATAATTAAAGCTCCTGCCCAGTACTGGAAGCTGAGTCATCCATATTCTGTCTGTCTTAGGTATGTGAAGACAGCCCGGCACACAATCCAAGTGGACCACATTGAGTACATGGATGAGATTGCCACTCTGGTTGGGGTGAAGCCCAACCTGCTGCTGCTTTTTCTCTCAGATCCCAAGCTGGCCATGGAAGTTTTCTTTGGACCCTGCACCCCATACCAATACCGTTTGCGGGGTCCCGGGAAATGGGATGGGGCCCGGAGAGCCATCCTGACTCAGAGAGAGCGGATCATCAAACCGCTGAAGACTCGAATTACTAGTGAGAATAATCACTCCACCTCAGGGCTTTCTTGGATAAAGATGGCACCAGTTGGCCTTGCATTTCTGGCTACAGGTTTAGCATACTTTAGATATATTTACCATGGTAAACGCAAATGAATGAGTGAATAGTTTAGAGGGGGAAACATGTACTCCTACTCATTGTAGTTCATTACAAAGCCTTTAGTTGCTAGTGTATGGCAGTCTCATTTAACATGATTATAGCTACAGAACTGTTTAGATATACTTTACAAGTAGAAGAGTCCTTTAAAATGAGTGTGCATTAACTTCTACAAACCGTTTGAATGTACAAGAAGAGCTTACATTAAAAACAGCCTTGAGCCCTTACTTAAAGCTTAAAAGACTTTTACAGCCAAGGTGATCCCAACTGGTTCCACAAAGGTTGGTTATACTTACAGGAATTTATAAATATTAATTGTGCACTGACTATATTTTCCACTTATATTTTTTCCTTCCAATTTATTTGGTAACTTGTGTCAAGATGCGAAAGTTTAAGTTTAAAGCATAGAAATTTTAAAATATGTCAGAATGTTTTGTGTTTCAACTGATTAGAAGCAATAAAATTTCTTCTCATTTAAATTGTGAATATTTAAAGAAATAACTGAAGAATAAAATAGAATATGTCAGAGCTACCAATGAACGACTTTACCTTTCAGTTTTCAGAAACACATAATTGTTGTGCTGTATGAAGTCTGTCTGAGGATCTAGGTAGCAGGCATGAGTTCTTGCTGGCAGCTGTAGTTACTTTACTGGATTTTAGACCATTCTTTCCCTATGTGGAATAGGTGGTTTCCTCACTGTTGGGATACAAGAAGTGCCAGAAGCCTTCTTTATCTCAAATGCCCTCTCATTACACCAACTATGATAAAGCGTCCCTAAGACTCCACCTCTGCCATTTTGCTCTCCTGACTAAAACTCTGAAAAACCCTGGAACGAGTGTGAAACTGAGTGGGGAGACTGAGGAGCATATGAAACTCCCATCCCAGAAGAGGCATCAGCAAACTATTCCAGAAGTATCACAATAAAATTTATTCACTGAGAAATATCATACTTTCTCATCAGAATAACTCAACTGGAAGTTTACTTACTCTACTGAGAGAAAAAAATGCCCACATGCCTTCCAGGGGCTGAAATGGACACTGTTATGCCTCAATACTTCCCCTGAAACCTCAAAACAACAACATAATCACTTGATGAAGTTATTCTTAACCACAGAAGTTACTGACAACCATTGGAATAACCAGTTCTCAAAAGCTAAAAATATAAGAAATGGAACTGTGCAGATGTTATTGAGATAAGTAAAAAAAAAAAAAAAAGTCAGGTAGGAACAAACACCTGAACACTGGCTTCTTTCTCTTGAGTCACACCTCACATTTATGCCAAAATGATACCAAAGACACTTCATCTTCTCATTTGAAAAAAAATGACCTTATTTTATTGACATAAATATGTTTTCTTCCTTACTTCTTACTTATCCTCATAATATTCAAGTGAAAAATCTAGAGGTCCTATTATGTTCTTCCATCTCCTCCTGTAGGCTATGTTTCTAATGCCTCCTGATTTTACCTTCTGGGCATTCCTAAAACCTATTTTATCCTTCCTGATTGAACTCCCAGTGTTGAAAGTTCAGCTCTCTACAATTTCGCATCTCAACAAGTTAAACAGTCTTCCTTTTCATAACCTTGTCATCTGGTGAGCTTCTCCCTGGTCTGCCCTCCTCCACACCACTAGCATGCTTAGATCTAAAGAGGGAAATCTCACCTTCCCTCTCCCTTAAAACCTCTTCAGCTACAAAAGAGGATTGCTGTCTAGAACTGCCCTTCACCCGCTCCTCATTCTCATTCTCCGGCATTTTTCTGTGAAGCAAACCCCTCCACTCCAGGTGTATCCATGTGTCTGTTGTTCCACACCATTGTGTAGACTAATCTATTTGGGAAAAAATCCCTTTCTCTTTTCTACATGAAAAACAACATCCTTCATCTCTCAAAACATGATTGCAATCCCACATCCTTTAAGAACCATTATCTGACCCTTAATTCCTCTACCCTAAATAGATTCAATTAGAGGAAATTAAGAAAAAGTAAAATGAGAGGAAATTAACAACAAAAATGAGGCCTTCTGGGTAAGGTGGAGACCTAGAGAGAGCCACTGTGTGATATGTAGAAAGAGGGGGGGGAGAGAGAGAGAGAGAGAGAGAGAGAGAGAGAGAGAGAGAGAGAGAGAGAGAGAGAAACTCTTTTCTAGACAGAAAAAAAAGAGAGGAAAAGCTATGGAAATCCACAAAACATGCCTGGGAAAAAAGACAGGTGACATGGAAAAGCAAGGCAAGTGCATCTTAGTGCGAGCACGGCCCTGGCAACAGACGGGCAAGTGGAACTGTCCCAAAAGCCGCTTGTTTCATCTTTGTCGGGTGATGCTGGGAACTGAGCCTTCAAGAGGAGGATGATTGACAAGAATATACTCCCCTCACCCCCCAAAAAGAGATATATATGCTAGAAAATGTGCAAAATGCAATACAGACATACAATAGACATGGAAAATCAAGGCAAGATTACAACTCCCTAACTGAAGAACTTAAACATCCTGAAATAGACAAAATGCCAGATGAAGTTTTAAAAGTTTTCTGATTTGATAAAAATGTAATGAATAAAAGAAAGTATAAAATATTTTCAATAGACTCAACCAAGCTTCAGAACAAATATTAGAGATGAAAGAAAAGGTTGACACATTAAAACATGAAATAAAATGAGGGGCTGGAGAGATGAGTCAGTGCTTAAGAGCACTGGCTACACTTCCAAGAACTCAGGTTCAATTCCCATCAGCAGCATGGTGGCTCACAACCATCTGTGAGTCCAATTCCAGGGGAGTTGATATCTTCTTCTGGCCTTTACAGACACAAGCATGCAAATCAGGCATAAATGCAGGCAAAACAGCCAGGCACACAGACTAAAAACCATGTCGGAAAAGAAAACAAAATGAGCATGATTATAACGTCCAAGAACTCCAAAACATGACCTAAGAATCTATGGATTATAAAGAGCTGAGCTAAGTATTAAAGGCATTTAAAGTACTCAATGGAATTATAGCAAAAAAAAAAAAACCCACAAATTCAGAGAAAGAAACAGATGTGCAATCATAGGAAGCATTTAGGACCCATATAGACAATATCAGAAAGGGATCTTCACATAATTGAAAGACCCTAACCCTTCAGGCTTACACCCCCCAAACCCCAGGAAATGAGAAACTAAAAATCTAGTTCCAAGGGCAACCTGACTCAGCCATTATTCAACCTGTAACAATGTAACAATGTAAAAAGATTTCTGTTAAAAGATGTGCTCAACTGTTACTGGAACAGTTGCAGGTGTTCCAGGAAGGACCACTGTGACCTTTGTGTAAACTCCACTCCCGCCCTGATACCCGCCTTGAGGTTTCGGGGAAAAATGTACATGCCGATAGGACTGTACCCACTCTGTGATCAGACCATGATCTTGTGAAACGAAATTGTATGGGAATTGTAATCTTATGGCTTTTGTGGGTTTTTCCATTAAAAGCACCCATGTGTCTACAGTAAGATGCGACTCTTGCTCTCTGGAGCTGAGTTTTCCCGACTGTACAGCCGCATTAATAAACACCTCTTGCTGTTGCATCAACTGAACTGGAGTCTGGGTTCTTGGGACGCCCACTTGAGACCCTAGATTTTTGGGGTCTAACAATAATATATCAGCATTCAGAATAAAGGAGCAACATTATATCAGCAACACAACCACAAGGGCAGAAACACCAAAACATCTGCTCTCTCATCAACAACCACAAAATCAAGGGAAGCATGGGATAATGTTTCAAGCTCTGAAGACAAGCAACCTCCAATAAAGATCACTAGATCCAGTAATCTGTCCTTTAAAACAGACATAGAATTAAGGACATTTCAAGATAAGCACAAACTGTAACATTCCGTGGCCACCCAGCCAGCACTATGGAAGTTACCTAATGGAATGCTATACATACTGGAACACCCACACACGGTCCCAGTCACAAGAGCATGGGAAAGAAGAAGTTTCATGACAGTAATAGATGGACAAAAGAAGAGCTAGGAAGGAATCAAATATGTTTAATGCAGTGAACAAACAAAACCCTGCTAAAAGAGAAAATATAGAACAAATAATAACCCAACTAACAAGGGAAAACAATCAAGAAAATTGCAGAAATCAGGAATATCTCTCTACCTTAAATATGACTGGCTTCAACTTAGCAGTAAAGAATGGAAACTGGATGATTGGATTAAACAAATAGATCCAACTATCTATTTTGTTTCTAAGAAATACATATCACATATAAGATGCCCATATTGAAAGCCAAAGAATGGAAAATAATTTATTAAACAAGAAGAAACCTTGAATAGGTTGGCATAGCTATTCTAATAACTGATAAGTAGACTTTTCATGAAAATTAGAAAAGATAAAGAAGGCCACCATATAGTAATCAGAGTATAAGTCATCAAGAAGACATAACCATACACACAAAAAAAACCAGGCTTCCCACTTCATAAAATAGAGTCTAATAAGCATAATAGCTCAAGAAGATCCCTATATAATAATAATGGGGGACTTGAATAAACAGCTCTTTTCTCTAGATAGGCCATTCAAACTAAAAATCAATAAAGAAAATTCACAGTTAAGCTATGTCATAAGGCAAATGGATTTAACAGACGTCCACAGAATATTCCATCCAACAGACACAGAACACAAATTCTTCTCAGCAACCCATGGAACCTTCTCTAAAATATACTACCCCATAAGCCACAAATAAAGTCTTACAAAAGAATAAAAGAACCAAAATAATTTTATTCAAAAGACAAAGGAATCAAAACAATTTCTTTTATGTTATCAGATCATAGTACAATAAAATTCTTATATTTTTTGTTCCAATTTGTACAGCATTGGGTTTTCTGAGTGAGCAGCCATTTTTATAGGCTCTGAGTCCCCACTATAACTTAGAGAGAAGAAACAAACTGTACAAAAGCAGACCGCCAAGCCCATCAGATATTAAATACAATTAAAGTGCATTTTAAAGATGCTACCACATTAACAATAACATAGAAAAGAAATGACAACGTTAAGTAGCATAAAGCATAAAGTTAAGATTAATTATAGTAAAAGTAAAAATAACAAATGAATACATATAGGAAGAGGACAGGCATACTAGTTACTTTTCTGTTGTGATAAAACACAGAAAAAAATTAAGGAAGAAAGGGTTTGTTTTTGCTATAGTTCTAAAGGGATACAGTTCATCCTTACAGGGAAGGGATGGCATCAGCAGTGTGAGGCTACCTTGGCGGTCAGGAAGCAGAGCAATCACATTCCACTTGCACACAGGAAGTAGACATAGAGGACAGAAGCCACCTGGCAGTGTTATA